ATGCATCCCAACTCTTCTTTGGTAGTGGTGGAGTCTCTACCGAGCTGATGGGGCAGCGGGTTGAGGAGGCACGTTCGTGTTTTCTCTTATCCTCCTGGGGGGAGTATCTTTATTGAAGCTCATTTTCTTTTGTCAGACTTCAGATTTTGCTAAGTAATCGGGCTTCCTCCTGTTCTTTTTCAAGAACAAATCCTTTTTTCAAGGGGGGTTGCCCAAATGTTTTTTCAGTAAGCTTTTACCACAAGGTTGCTCGTGGTTATGGTATAGTTTTCCACTTACGGCGCCAATCCGTTGACCCCAAAAAATGTTGCCAATAGATGCCGGTCCCACCCGCGTACACGTGGGCGAATGTCCAACACGCTAAGACACGTGATCGGTCTAAAACGAGCGGTTCAAAAGGCGTGGGAGTAGCCCAACGACGCGGGACGGTGACGTTCGAAATCCGACGAGTTGTTCGTGATCCGATTATATAATAATTACCAACCGGTGTTCGTAAATGTATATGTAAATATGTATAAATTCGATTTGTGTATTGCAAGTAAAAGAGAGAGAGTTGAGTAAAGTGTAGTTCTTTGTATTGATTCTTACATTAGCCTTTTGATGTTACACAAGGGAAGTATTTATAATGATACATGTGAAATGGGAGCCCTTGGATGAGGTGGCACGTGGCCTTGTCTCTTCGATTCAAACATCTTATCCTAGGCATGGGGCTTGACTTGCTAGTTTACTGCACATTTATTGCTTGTGCAAAGCCTCCATACTAGTGACAAGACTTGACCTTTATGCTTATGACAAACGTTCCATCAATCATTCGAATAAGATCTTTGTGTAGGCGATCTCTTGGGAGAAGTGACTATGGAGGATGCTCCCTTGTGGTTCGGAGGCTCCTGCATCAACTTCGGGACTTCGGCCACTTTATACAATACTTCTATTTGAGGGCTTCAGCTAACTTCAACCAATTTCAGCATCATGGCTGCGGCTCATAGGCATCAACATGTGGACCTCGGCTACATTCATAGGCCCCGATAAAAGGGCGCCTCGGCTAGTGGACTTCGGTTTGGAGGGCTTCGGTCATAGCTCACCTCGGCAATATATACCACCTCAGCTGGAGTGCCATGTGGTTCGGCCTGAGTAGGCCATTGGCCCAAGTAGGTTGGCCAAGTATGACAATACACAACATCGTAAACAATGTTTCCTCCGTTTCAATTTCTTCAGTGAGCATTCAAGTTAACATCGACTGGACTTGGCCAAAACTCGGTTAGGTTTTAATATTTATATGAAATTTGGCTCAAATTATTACATTTTTTTTTTCACCGTCAATTTTTGCAATTATTTGATAGAGGAAAAGGTTATAAATGAACAAATACATTCAGAAATCATTTTGTCGACTCTTAAGGAAACAATATATTCGAAGTTAGAATTCCTTTAGAAATGCTGCATTTTTCTTCTAAATAATGGTTAATTTCAAGACTCAATTAATTCATCGAGAGATTGGTCACTTCATTAAAAAATTATTGCAATAGATGTCCCTCCGAGTTGGGTCTACAATAATTACAGTATTTAGTCTATTAACTTCATAATTTATAAGAGTTTGAAGATATTCTGCCATTTTTTTCTTCCTCCTTTTCGCCCTCTTTTGTTGATCAATTGTGCAAGTTGCATGAAAATCTTGTTCCAGCGTATAACATTGAATACTCCAGCACCGACCTGATGTTGAAGTTTTGTTAAAGAATAAAAAACTCTGTACCTTTCATTTTTTTCCATTCCTTGGGGGTGCCCCTATCTATACGTTTTTTACTTTTATTTGGGTCCAAGTCCAAATTGACTTGAGCAAATCAAATAGAATACAGCATTGGGTCATTTTGTTTTGCAATTCAACCAAATCGACCGAATTTGAACTGCGCTCACTTCTAGTTACAAGCACTTTTCATGCTTCGTGTCATCATACGTCCCGTCATAAATTTCGTACACTCTTAATCACTATCTTCGTTGTCCTACTATTCAGAATATATTAGCATAGACCCAAAACCTCTATTCGAAATGTCATATTCCTTAACCACACCCATAATGAAGGTATCGTGGAGATCGAAGAAAGTAGGCTGTACCTGCTCTAAGTGTAGATGTCCCCTCTCCATCTGAATGGATGCAAGAATCATTTTTACGATTTACTAAGCCCCCGCTTGATTCTCATTCTTATAAGAATAAGAATGAAAAATATAGCCGTTATGGAACTCACACAATAGAGAGAAGGTCAAATATAATGGTTTGGTGTGATGGATAACGGTTATATTTTTCATTTTTAGGGACAAAGAATGGAAAACAAACGGGGCGTAAATAATTATCAAAATCCATGTTGGTTATACCTTCTTCAATACGATCTATGACTGGATTATTATCGCCCCCAGGGCACATCTTCAAGTGGTAAAATGGGAGGTTGGAGAAATCCAACTGTGCTTGAGGTTGCCGCGTCAAGGGTTCAAATCCTGAAATATGGATTTGGCTCTTGGGTAAGTGCAAGTGTACAAGCAGCTTTCCACCTTGTACTCTTGGAAGCATAACCTGCGATTTACCTCCCTCACGATACTCTAGGGAAGGGGCGGTGAAGGACCCCTAAGGTTGGAGTTCAACCTTTATGACTAGATTATTATCTATTTATTAATTAATCTACAATTGGTCTGAGTTTGAATAATGTCTATGGTTGATTAATGATCTACTAATCGTCATTATGTAGTCTATGCTAAGCAATAGTGAGTGATATATCAAATCAACAAATTTAATAGTTAAATTTTGGAACTCAGCATTAACTTATTTATCAATTTATTGATATACATACACCCATATACGTCTTTTTACATGTACCTTTTTATGTTGACAATTAAAAATCGTAATCATATTTCATCAAGAGCAGTCAATTTGTAGAAAGAAAAATAAACACTCAATAACTTAGCCCAACATGAACTACGCCATCTTCTGCTGCTACATTATTTTACTATGATAAAAAATAATAATAATAATAATAATAAAATTGCACCCTACTCTATCTTCTCTAATATTTCTTTCTTTTTTACGAAAATAATAAAATTCTAATGACAGCTCCATGTTTGTAAAATAGATTAAAATAAAATTGAAATTAAAACGAAAAAAAAAACACTTTATATATACAAACACATTCAAACACCTATATATTACTGTCCACAACCTAAAGATGTATATACGTGTAGATATACCTACACCTATATAAGTCTATATCCTAATATACATACGCCGTGTTTTAGGTGCATGCATGGCGTAATAAGGCCAAGAGGGGAAGAATAAAATGCACAAAGTACATTATTAGGCATGGAAATAAGGGTTTTGTGGTCCCTCTAATGTCCATTCTTCTATATCCCTATTCTTCCCGTTTATGCCACTTGCTTCATTATTTTTTCAAGATTAATCTAAGTCGTCCACGACCTTTTCGAGGTCATGCGCTTCAAAATGTACCTATAAATGGTTGCAACTTGCAAGATTGAAGCACCGTGGTGTTCGCGTCGCGCTCGTGCGTGCGTGCATATACACACAGACTCCCAATGTATCGTTTCGAAGTATTAATCTCAAAAAAATTAATGGAATGTTTGATAAAACTTTTTCAAAAAAATTTTAGCGAATATGCACGATGAAAAGTAAATTAATGGAATGTTTGATAAAATGTAAGATGAAAAGTAAATAAAAAATTATGAATTTTATGAAATGTATGATTAAAAATAAAGTTTGACCAACTGAAAAATTGAGTTTTAGCAAAGCTTTGTTAAAGCAGCAAGGCAATTTTTGTTGTAGTGGATATATATAGATCATACATTAATTTAAAATATTAGAGTTTCACTGACGAAGCAGGGATATGGGATTCAGAGTTGGTACTTATTTTTTTTTTTCCCCTAGTATTATAAGTTGTTTGTATTTTTTATTTTTATTTTTCTGAAAAATAACCCTCTCCTAGGAATTAAATAAAACAATCTTTCTAGAGTTTTTTTTCAGAAAAAAATATATTGTTTTGGAAACAATATTAAAAATTTAGCTGTAGATATTAATTAATTAATTATCATGTTTAAAGAAACTTAATAACCTCTTTAATAGTCAGGCAATGCATTATCACTAATTAATTGAGATAAAATGCTTGTAATTAATGTAACAGAAAAACTGTGCCAGAAAATGACTAGGAAAAAGGTGTCTAAATAGATATTTTCTTAAGGATAATTCAATTAATTAATTAATATATGATCCTACTTAAAATATCATTACGTTGGATGCCAAGCAAACAAAAAAGGGGGAACAATTTTGTGATAAAAATGTCTTTATATGATATTATCAAATTTCAAAGCATGTGGCATGACATTTCTTCCATGTCATGTCACAAAATCTCGTCGGAAAAATCCATCAATATTAATCAGCAAGTTAACTCAACTGGCACAATCATATTTGAAATTTTTTCCTTAGCAATGTAGTTCAATCTAGCACGACCTATTCGGTATCCTAGTTCGACTAAGGCCTCGCCAAAAATTCTACTTCTACAATTGGTTGGCATCGAGTTAGTAGACTCAACAAAAGATGCATCCAGCAAGAAAGCCAAGAACTCTTTGATTTTGCTGGATGGGTTGGGAATGCTCGACTTATTAATTAATCCGGTACAACTCATAATACCACAAAAAGGAAAGATTCAATTTTCATTTGTTTTGTAACCATGCTTACACACGTTTGAATGACATAGCCAAAAACTGATAATACAATAAAATAATCTGAAATCTCAGTCTAATCATATATTTTAATTTATTCTTGGTCTTCAAAATCTAGTCAACAATATGAACTAAAAAGCAAGTAATCGGTGAAAGCGTGTTCCTTATCAGCAGCCATTTCACCTTTGACATCATCAAAAGTCAAACCTATCCAATGTAAAAATGCAAAAAACTACTTTTTGTAGTGATTGTATAGGTCCCTTTGTATATATAAACCAGCTTCCATTTTCATTTTTCCCATTGGGTTATCAAATACTTTAGAATCAAGAAAGTCAGCGCCTGCTTAAATTTTCTTCTTCTTGTATTTGCTTATTCAAGAAATTTTCTTGTTTGTGAAGGGGTTTTGTGGGATGGAGGATTGGGGTTTGCAGGATATAGTTACAGGTTCTAGTGGTGATTTTACCAATATTTCCAATACAGACATTGATCGGAAATCCTTTCTTGGGTTCTCGAGCCTTCAGCAATTTGATTATGAGTTCGTTTACGATTTTCCTAAAATTTTCGAAGGTGATGAACTAGAAGAGCTTTACAAGCCATTTTGTCCGACCGTGGCAAATTCTGGTCCTGCACAAACTGTTCTTCAATTTAAAGAAGAAAGTCCTCCAGGAAGTACTGTAATTCAAGAAAAGCAGGCTCAATGTTTTCCTTCAGAGACTAGTGATTCTACTACCAGGGTTACTGCTCATAAACCAAGATACAAGAGAAGGTTTGTTATATAAATTTTTACTTCCTGGATAGTTTATATGAATCTAAGTTCAAGTAGTTTTTATTTTGATTTTGATTTTTTATTTTTTTTATTTTTTTTATTTTTATTTTGAGATTTGATAATGAAAGATTCATAATTTATTCACAGGAAGAATGAGCATAAAAGAAGAGTTGTTCAAGTTTCTGTTGAGGGTATTTCTTCTGATGTCTGGGCTTGGCGCAAATATGGCCAAAAACCTATTAAGGGTTCTCCCTATCCAAGGTTCATCTCTCTCTCTCTCTCTCACACACACACACACAAAAATTGATACTGAATGAACATATCAAGCAGAGGCGACCATATCATGCCGTAGAACACTTTTATATGTATATACAGAGAGAGATCTCTTAGATATACCTATAGAATAAATGTTCATGGGTAGAACTTACTTGGATTCATTACATAGAGATTGAGTGAAGACTATTCATGATGTTCGGTTTTCCTCTTGACCACGAATCAACCTAATATTTGTATTATACAAAAAATTTATAGCACCTATTTTTCTTGAGACACAGAAAAGCGTGAAATTGAATATTCTTCATCATAGTGAAAACTTGTAGCAGCAAGTGGAGGTGAAACTCTCACAGATAAACTATATAAATATGTGTAAATTTTGCTTATTTTTTGTATTATAACTATGGAATCACTAGAACAAAATCTAGCTCACTTATAGGCATGCATACAAAATCCATAATTTACTCAAGAACTTTTTCTATGTGATAAACAGAAGCTACTACAGATGTAGCAGCTCAAAAGAATGTATAGCAAGAAAACAAGTTGAGCAAAGCTGTACAGATCCCGGAATGTTTAATATAACCTACACTGCAGAGCATAACCACAGCCAGCCAACTCGAAGAAATTCTTTAGCCGGTACAATCCGTCAGAAATTTCCAGCATCCAGAAGCCCAAATAGAATCAATATCAAGCTGGAAAGAACTGAAGATTCCATTTCTTGTTCAAAACTTTCTGCTCCATTTCTGTCTACAGAAACAGAAGCCCTTTTGCCTTCATCAATAGAAGAAGATTTTCTCCAGGCAAAATGCAATCAAGAGGGAAAAGAAGATGATGAGTTGATATTCAGTGATGATTTCTTCTCCTGGTTAGAAGAGTTTGATGGATTTAATTCAGATACATTGCCTATCAGCTCCCATAGCTCAGCACAACAATTTCCTTTGAGTTCTTGTAGCTAATATTAGAAGATTCTTAACCAAAATTAGCACCTCTGTATAACCTGCAAAAGGGCTGGTTAATTTTAATGATGCAGGATAATGTAATTTCAGTTTCTAGAGGTTTTGTTACTCCTTCATATCTTTATTAATGCATAAATGTTGGAATTCTAAGGAAGCAATACTATTTACCGATTATAAATCAAACATTAGCATTAACAAGTGAACAAACGTGAATAAGATTTTAGATTCTTTTCTTTAGTATAGTATTTAATACCAAATAAACAAGAGGTTGTACATGAACACACCATTTGTGAATAGCCTTCTTTGTCTATGCCAAGAAAAGCAACCACCAATCCCTCAAAAGATGTACCCATGACTGGTGTGGGATCCAAATGTGAACACTCTGACTAAATTCAATAAGTTCTACCTCATTTTGAATTAGGCCCACCAACAATAGCACTGTCTTAGCATATATATAGATATGGTGCAAGAATAGTGTTGAGTAACAATCATTGCAACACAACTTGGCAGGGTGAGTATGGATTGAGGAGTGGATGCACCTCTCTAGTGTAACTATATGTTGGGGTTTTGCTGCCAAAAGCCAACCATGGATGACTTTACGAGATTTTTCCAACTACATAGTTAGAAAATAATATGGATAATGGTTGGGAAAGTGCGAAAATAATCTCGGGAAAGCTACATATGGGATAAATGATGGCTTGGAAAAGATGGGTAGCCAGGGGCCGAGCCAGAGGGACAATATTTTTCCCACTGGACAGGCTACATAGAATTTTTTTCCCCTCTAAAAAGTAAATGGGCTTGGGGGGCAGGGAAGCCCACCCCTGCCCCCCTTGCTACGTCCCTGGATTAACCTTTTAGGATGGATCTTCCATTCCCACAATAACAACCTTAACCATAACAACCATTGAGTTGCATATGGTTCCCTTGTAACCTCCCTTCAATAGGAAACTCATGTCGTAACAATAATTCAACTAATTGATTTGTTATGTCATTACTGTTTAATGTAAGATGAGCACCGATACTTATTAAATCATTTGTCATATTTTCTTGAGGGCCAATATGTATTCCATTGGAGCATATCGCCATGAACAATTGGCCAGAAAATTCGAGATATGCAATAAATCCATGAACTAACTAGAAAATTAAAAAGCAAGACGCTATGACATGGACTACTTTGTTTCCATCAAATGGAACATAGCAACAAGAACGACAATAAACATCAGACAATGGATAATATCAGTAAGAACAAGAGAAAACTAAGACTACGTACTACTTACTTAGTCTTTTAAAAACTGAATATTACTAACTTTTTTTGAAAATTTGGGAGATTATTGACTCCATGCATTTTTTTATTGTAACAGCTGAAAATTTTAAATTCTTAACAGTGGACTCTTTCTCGCTTATCTCAAGGTCTTAATTAATAAACCATTAACAAAAACTTAACGTTAACTTACATCACCAACGTCTCAAAATTCTCTCATATGGTATCAAAGTTTTCATATGTAATCCTTCAATACCAGGAAAATACATGTAAACCAATCAATCTGAGTTTCTGAGATGAAATTTTGCTTAATCATTGAAGAGATATTTATATAGTATTTTTCATATCTAGTAACAAGTTGGTATATTCCTAATTAACTCGAAGAACAATTTCATTTGGACAAAACTCGAACTCCGACTTAATACTTTGATATATGTATGTGGAATCTGTCGAGTGAAAATGTCCAGATTAATAATTTTCAAACAAAATGAAATTTAAGCAATTAAAATTCTTTGAGAAACTTAATAAGTCAAAAGTTTGTTGTTTATCCACTAAAGGTGAGTAAACACTGCTTCATATTATATATTCGTATACTTTTACACGCACAAACGTTAATTTATATCTGTATATCCCATCTCATGTTTCATGTTGGTTTGTCCCAAAAAAAAAAATGTGAAGAAAAAGGATAAAGAAAAATTTAACAAATTCAGGAAAAATGATCATAAATTCAACTAATTTTAATAGAAACCTATCTCAAATCAAATTTATTAACTAATTTCATGGTAAACATATATAGAAAAAAAAATCCTACTTGTGTCAATTTTAACATGGAGCATACAATTTAACTATTATATGCTTTCTTTTGGTGATAAAACTGAAATAAGAAAAATTGTGTATCTAATTTTACTCAAAAGATAGGCAAGCGACGTCATTCAAATTTTCAAATGTGATGAAAATTGGGTGTGTGTGTGAAGTTTTGGCATAAAAAATTATAATGCAACTATGAGGCTTAAAAACTTAGAAGTCTTCCATATGGTTATGCCCATAAAGAGTATTCTCTCTATCATTTTCCAAACAACCTTAACTGCACTCAATTGGTTTGTACCTCAAGAAAATCCTAAACCTAGGGTAGTTGTCTAACAATTTTTTGTACTATGTACTTTTTTTACCACATTTGAGACAATTTTATATTCTACTCATCCTTTCTCTCTCTACATATTTATATAGTTTGTAAATTGTAATAACATTATACTTTGAACCTTAAGGGAGTTGAACAGATCAAAGTAGGTGAATTGTGGTTGGCTTAATTTCTCAAGGGTACAAGTTAATTAAGGCCTCATTCCCTAATTTCAAAAGGAAGTTCTCCCTTTATCCATTTGTCCATCAAGTCTATAAATTGTTTGCCCACCTAACTCTCTCCATAAATCTTTCATCATCAATCTAAAATCCAACAAAGATTTTTCCTCTCCAAATCTAAATAGAATCTTTGTCAACCTTATGCATGGAAGGCGAAAATTTCCCTTATCTTTTCGAGCCTTCTTTTCCTTTGGCCTCGTTGAATTCGCCATCCCTTTTAGACCAACCCATGAACAACTTGCAGTATGCCTCAGATTTTGATTTGTCCAACATGCTGTCTAGTTCCATGGTTAATGGGGGCCAAAACCCGGTTTTTCCAAGTTTATCGACTACGTCCAGGAACACAAATGAAGGGGAGAATGTAAACAAAAATAAAGCGAAATCTGGAAGAAAGAAGAAACATATTCCACCAAGGGTTGCTTTTCATACCAGAAGTTCAGAGGACATTCTTGATGATGGATATAAATGGCGAAAATACGGGCAGAAAGCTGTGAAGAATAGTGCTCATCCCAGGTAAAGAGTTCATCTTCAGAGCAACTTTTATCTTTATTATTATTAGCATTTTAGAAAAATTCATCAACAAAAGAAAAACTAAAAAAGGAAAAAAAATAATAATTAGTTCATCTATAATATTTGCAAACATGGTCGAACAACAAAAATAATTTGCGCACTCAATCTTATATAAAGCTTAGATATTTATTGTAAATTTGTATAAAGAAAGATTAACAGACATAAACATTTTGAAAGATTCTAGTTCAACTTTATAATCCTAAGACTATTTATGAATCCAAAATTTATGAATTCAGGATATAGGATTGTTGTTAAAATGGGATATATTAACCTAGTCGAGTGAAAATAATTAAAAGTGAAAACATCTTTTTTCAACTAGGGTTAAAGAAATAGGTTCTTTCTCGACCAAGGCGGAGAAAAATTGTAACAAAAAATATTATTATTTGGATTTTTCTTTTCATGTTCCAGACTTTATATTCGACCTTAGTTGAAAGCGTAGAAAGTTCTTGTGTCAATTAATCTTTGAAGGATAGAAATTATTTTTAAGTAG